AACGTGGAAGCAGGAGGAGGGGTGCAGCACGCTCATCCCTGGGGAGTGCCCCCCCCCCCCCCGTATCACTTGTCCACAAGCACACACCCCCATGGCAGGAACCTCGAAAGGTAGCCTTCGAAATGAGTTTTTATTAAGCAAATATAAACTTTAAAAATTCATGAGGGCCGGTAGGTGGCATGGTGGTTAAAGACGCTGAACTCCCACCTGGCCAACCGTGATTCAAGTCCTGGACCTAGTGGCTTCCTCTCTCACTTTCTCTGTCTCTTTCTCTCTCTCTTTCTTTCTCTCCGTCTCTCTGGTCAAACTGGAAAATAATGAAGTTACAATAATTCTTTTTTTTTTTTTTTTGTGAGAGGTTTTCGCTATAGGGCACATGCGCTTGCCAGACAGACAGAGACATAGAGACAGAAAGAGAGAAATCACCCCCCAGGGGGAATGGCCACACCGCAATCCCTTCTCCTCCATTCTCCTCTCGGGATCTTGGGCACGCACGCACACGCGCCCAGTATGAGTTTTAAGCCACCGGATCCAGGACGTGAACCGTGGTCGACTACGTGGGAGTCCAGCGACATAGCCATTACACTAACTGCTGGTTCCCGAGCTACAATAATTCTTGAAAGAAAAAAAAAATGTTAAGAGAACAAAAGCTGACTTACAAAGACAGGTATTCCAGAAACAGTTGCCGTGTTCACTACCGTGACTGAGAATGGGTCCAGCTCTAAGCTCCCTGCAGCCAGGGCACTGAAGAGGTGGTACCTGTACCCTCTTAGCTGGGTCTTCAGGAGAGGGCGTCCCCAGCTCTCAGAGCTGGGGGACAGTTTTGCCGGTCCCCATGGACATGACTGGAAGGAGTGGGACTGTCAGGGCATGAGGCCTCGGGCTGCAGGTGCAGGTGGTCTAGGGCCAAGACCCTGGCTCCTTTGTTTACTGGCCACTGGCTTAGTGACTGGGGTTGCTTTGCTCCTCGAGCCCTGGTCTCCTTACCTGTAGTGGGGGTTGAGAGCTGCGGCCACCTCGGAAGGTACTGAGGACCAACAAGGCCCTGCTGGCCCCCGGTCCTGACAGCAGTTGTCACAAGAACTGCTGGGCCTTCATTGTGCTGAGTGTTGTGCCTCTGTTCGTGGCTGGGGTGGTGCTTCACCTTTGTGGGGAGAGTTAGGCAGAGGGCCTGAGTTGGAACAGGGTTATTTACCCTCATGACCGGGCCCCTCCTGCAAAAATCCCCCTGCCCCTGGGCTCCCCACTGCCAGTGTGAGGGCAGCCCAGCAGGTGACACCTGTCCCCACAGTGCTCCAGCTGTTCTGTAGCTCCCCCAAGGCCGCCCTGCGCTATGCTGCCGTCCGTACCCTTAACAAGGTAAGAGCCAGGGCAGTGAGCACAGGGCCTGGCTGTGGGCCATGGGGAGGCGTGGGCACGGGGCCTGGCTGTGGGCCGTGGGGAG